TACATCGCCCCATACCCAGAATAAACACGGCTTCAGCTTGTTAGAACATACGAAAAACGGTCTTCCATAACTTGCTTTCATCAAATCTCTAACGACCCGCATTTTTGCAAGTTTACTATGTCCACCACATCGAGGATGAAACTGTTTCGTAGCTCTCCATGCAGTTATGGCTTTTTCATACGAATAACCCTCATCTTCGCAACAAAAGAAATTGCAGCTAGGATTCTGATTGCAAAACCAAAATGAACCATTTTGAGTTGTCGAATGAGCAGCGGGTTCACCGTGTAAGCACCTAATCTCTTCACAAAAGCTATGAACACATAAACAAAAATCGCTCGTCTCCTCTATTTATATTCTCCATCCAACACGGCTAACCAATCAGAGACGAGTATGATCATGACGTAGTTTAAGGGTGTACGTACACCATGTACATACATAGATATGTACGGGGTGTACGTACACCGTGTACGTACACCGTGTACGTACACCCTGTACGTGTACGTACACCTCTAGTATAAATACACTTCCCCATAATCATCAACCACACATCGAAATGGAATGCATAGGAGTTTTACCAGTACCTGAAGATGTTATACCACCAGCAAATATACCTCTATTCGGAATCCTGGTGGAAAATACTACAGAACCGGGACAGTGCTATTTCTGTTTTGAACAGATTGATGGAAACGAACTACTTGCGATGACGATGCAATGCTGTCAACAAAAAGCTCATTGTCGATGCCTCCAGATGTGGGCGGTACATTACAACGGAACAGATATCGAAACCGTACAGTGCGGGTACTGCAGAGCACCATTCCCGGACAAGGAACTCTGTTATCTGTGCTTACAGAACAAAAGCAACGGACAAGAACTGAACAAAACCCGATGCTGTCAAACAACGATCCATAAGAACTGTACGGAAATACTAAAGGAAATACTGGCCAAGCTGACATTCGAATTTTCGCTAGAATGTGGTGAATTAACCTTCTGTGGATGCATCTGGCACAAACTCTAAAAACATAATTATCAAAATCTCTACTGTAAACTACTGTAAAACCTAATAAATTGTTTTCAAATATTCATCGTTGTACGCCATTCTGAACATTTCCTTATTTTCGGGTTTCCATGATGTCATTGCTTCCGCCGCTCCTGCATACTAATTACTTCCGGCGCTCTATTCGCTCCTGCATACTAATTACTTCTGCCGCTATACGGGACTTCCGCCGCTATACGGGGGGGGGGTAATACTACTGGTATGTAAAGAACAGTGTGGAACCACTTTTACAACAAGTTGCAAAGACAGGTGTGATTGAAACGGAAAGATGCGAAACAAAAGAAAATTTTGAGAAGAAAGCAGTAGAGGAGCTAGAGAAAGCTTGGATTGACAAGAAAATGTATGGACAATACAACAGAGATTTAGGTAAAGAAGTGGATAGGGAGAAGACATGGTGGTGGCTGAAGAAAGGAGACTTGAAACCTGAGACTGAAGCACTTCTTTGTGCTGCACAAGAACAAGCTCTAAGGACAAATTATGTAAAGTTTCACATAGATAGAACTGTTGAGTCTCCACTCTGTAGACTTTGTGGGGAAAAGGGAGAGCATATAACACACTTGATAAGTGAATGCAAGAAGCTAGCACAAAAAGAATACAAACGAAGACATGACAATGTGGCTCGCATTGTACACTGGAAGCTATGTGGATTGTACCAACTAGAGAAAGCTGAAAAATGGTATGAACACCAACCAAACGGAGTAATTGAATCAGATAATGTAAAGATTCTCTGGGATTTTAACATACAGTGCGATCATGTGATTGAATGTCGAAGACCTGATATTGTAGTGGTTTTAAAGAAGGAAAAGGATGCAAGATCATCGACATCGCAGTTCCAGGGGACTGTAGAATTGGTATAAAAGAAACAGAGGAGGTAGAAAAGTATGAGGAGTTGAAAAGGGAAATTCGGAAAATATGGGCAATGAAAAAAGTAGAAGTCATTCCAATAGTAGTAGGTGCCTTAGGAGCAGTTAGTAATAAACTGGATAAGTGGATTGAGAAATTGGGAATACATATAAGAACAGAACTTCTACAAAAAACAGCATTGTCAGGGACGGCAAGAATACTGAGAAGAAGCTTGGAAAGCTAAAATCTTTGGGACCTGAGGCTACTGGTTGTAGCCAGCTCCCAAGGAAAAAAAACAGCCAGCATAAGAACAAAGCTGTGAAAAAACATGTAATAATAATAATGAAAACTTTATTGAATTTTTTATGCACTTACAATTGAAAATCTCACTGTTAAAGGTAATTTACAATTGGCCACCTGATACACTATACATTACTACATTTACATAACACATGGTCATAATTATATGATACAAAAAGTAACAGACTAACTAGAAGTTCATTAAATCTGGATTCGACCATTCCTTGTTTCTACAACAGAAAACGTAATATGTCGTTTTTATTGCAATGTTAATGATTTTCCTAATGGTATATTTAACACAGGCCTTATCTGAGTTCAAATGTTCCAACATTTGTATAAAATCTGACGATTCTTTTTCAAAAACACCGAGTGCACTGATTGAGAGGTTAATGAACTTTACTGGCCGGAATTTTTTCTTTTGTTCTACGATCATCTCTTTATATTTTGAGTATTTGCGCTGTATATTATTCCTTAGGTTAGTCTCATATCCAACGGTTAGTTCGAGTACATATAGACAATTGTCTTTGGTCAAAATTAGTAGATCAGGACAAAAGTCATTGCCAGTAAGAACAGAGGGATTAGGGAATGACCGTAAGTCAGCATAAATGGTCTGAATATGTTCTGATGGGAGGTTATTAGCAATAAAATTTAGGATTGAGTCGTGTCTCCAAGTAAATCGATCAAGATAGGAACTACAGCCAGCAACAATGTGTAACAGAGATTCAGGTTTAAGGCAAAACGAGCACTCAGAGGATGAAGAGAGTCCCCATTTTTGAAGGTTTTTACGGGTTGGTAGCGAATTGTTTATGTAGCGAATAGTGAAGTTGAAAATGTTTTTTGGTAGTTTGGATTGACAGGTTGGCCAAATCGAATTTACTTGAGGTAGTGAAAATTTTGAGATGCTGGAGGATTTTCCAATTTATCTACATGAATTTCACAGAATGACTTGATTACTTCTTTTGTCGACGTATACTGATAATTTTGGGTGTAGTATGATTACAGGTTGACTTCCAGAGGTGGGTTATTGATTCATTAGGAGATGACTTCAAAGCACTACGGATAGTTGTTTGACATTGTATGAATTTAGTTGATGGGGGGATAATGTTCAGACCAAATGTGTTACTGGTTAGGTAAATGTTACTAAGTGATCCAGAAATAGGTACCTCAAGCCATTTACAAATGTATTGTTTGCAAACTGAATCCAGGTTTTCGGAAATCCACGTTTTTTGAATTGATGCTATAGTGAAATGCCATGAGAGTTTTGAAAGAACGTAGCAACTGTAGAGGAAAATCTTGTTTTTCGGATGTAATGGCTTCAGATGTATTTCTTTCATTAGGTCTGTAATAATAATAATAATAATAATAACGAATTTATTAAGGCATATCTACATAGTAGCTCTACATCCTTAATTCCTAAGCTAATATATAAAATATACAAATGTATATGCAGAATAAGTTTATAAATGTACAATATAGATGTACGGAGAGCTGATGTGCTACTTTACATAGCTGGTTTTATTGCAAGCAGATTGTATAAAACCTTGAAGTGTTCATAGTGTGCTGCAGCACTGTTTCTATCTTCAGATGAAATTAGCCATTAAACACAATCAATCTCACTGATATCATGCAAGCAACATGGTAAATTGTTTGTTCCTTCATCGTGTAGTCAAAGTTAATACCACCTCATGATACATTTCCCAGAAGAGAATTACTTAACTGGACAACACTAGACAATTAGGAAACAAAGTGAATAATACATAATGTTCTTATGGCTACACAAGAAGACACCTTTGCAAGTCTATGTGAACACTCCAGATAATGTCATGTTCTAGAATAAAAAACTTATTGCTGAAAGTTATTTAAAACTGTTTTTCCATCAGTTTGGTAAAGAGTGATTAAAAAAAATAAGACATCAACTCACAAAATGAGTGTTGTTTCTTAATGAATAGTTATTAAGTTATTGGAGCTGTTTGACATGTTCTCAAATTTCCTGGGCTACACTGGATAGCACAACAATGCTGAGTGCTAGGCGGCAGTTAAGTAACCTGGTTCCCCAAGTGCTTTTGATTAGGATAGGATTAACGGTTTATGATATGGGATAGGTAATACGGTATTAGGATATGGTTTCCTTGATGTAGGAAATAACATCTAATAACCAGAAAACATGGCTACAGCTAAGATTTGTGTTATAATTTGTAGAAATGTAAAAATGCAATTGTATATTGTATCTGTTTTGTAGTACTAAGTATTTCCTCGTTACATGCAAGTGTTGTCTAAACGAATCGTGAACATGACTGCAGACAATTAAATTTATTTATTAGATTACCACAAAACAAACAGTGAATGCCCTCTAGTGTTGCATAAAAATGGTAGAAATTAAACATTAATGTATACAAGTTTGGGCAACAGTATAATTTGCATTTAATAGAGGAAACATATGGTACTACACCAAGTTAAATTAAGAGAAAGAAAAATAAAATTGAGATCAAACCTTCTTGTTGGTTTATATTTACAACAACATTAATGTATACAAGTTTGGGCAACGGTATAATTTGCATTTAATAGAGGAAACATATAGTACTACACCAAGTTAAATTAAGAGAAAGAAAAATAAAATTGAGATCAAACCTTCTTGTTGGCCTTCCGCCCTTGGCAGTTGCAGCCCCACTGTAAAGTTTTATTGTACTAAAGTGAGAACAACTCAAGCAAAACGTCCAAAATAAGAAACAGAAATATTATAAAGCCGCTAAAATAAAAGTATATTTATCTTTTGCTTGCCACAAATTCCATACTTATCCCTTGCGAAAATAACTATATTATATTGCTATTTTAAAACTATTTTATTACTATCACCCCTATTTTTCTGCTATTTTATTCGGAAGCAACCCTATTTTAATTCTATCATAATATTTCACCAAAAGAAAGAGCCATATTTTATTAATGTTTTATTTTATTTTATTCCTATTTTTATAGATAATAGAAATAAAATCGCATATTTTAATACTATTTTCCAGGGCTTCTGGGGAAAAATAGGTTTAAAATAGCCTATTTAAATTCTATTTTACTTCACTAAAAAGCAGTTAGAAATTAAAATAGATATAAAATATACTATTTTTAAACTCATAAAATAAAATAGGCTGTTTAAATCCTATTTTACATTGCAAGTTAAATGCACAAATTTCAAACAGGAATAAAATATACTATTTTAATCCTATCTTTCCTTCATAGTTAGTAAAATAACAATAAAATAGACCATTTTAAACATATTTTGCACTTGCAGAAAATTACATAAATTAAAATAGATATAAAATATAGTATTTTAAAGCTATTTATTTTTTCAGAATACGTAATACAGAATAAAATAGACTATTTTAAACCTATTTTACATTTTTAAAAATGCCACATTTTTCAAATAGGGATAAAATATACTATTTTAAACCTATTTACTTTCCCTAAATTGCAAAATAGAATAAAATACACTATTTTAATCCTATTTTACATTTACAGGAATTCAGGATTACAATTTGCAGATATGTATAAAATAGTCTATTTAAATTAAAACATATTGAATTTTCCTATTTAGCAAAATGAAATAAAATAGAAACGTATTTTACATTTACACAGATAAGGGACCAATCATTAATAATGGAAGGGGGTGAGGGGCGGAGGGTGAGAAAAGGAGGAGGCTTCAACTATTGCGTACAGCGTCATCCCCACTGGTCATCCCATGCAGTGCTTCCACTTGCAAGGAAATTTCTTTGCAAAAAGAAATAAAATCTACTAGGAAACGGCAAGGAATTTTGTTTTCAGCAAGCAAATAAGGATATTACGTTATTTCTAATAAATCCTAAGATTATAGCAATTCCCAAGCAAATTCGCGTCAGGAAATGTCGAAAATCCAAACTACTCCTGGGGAATGGAAAATCTGAAGAATTTCTGAGGCATGACCTCAAGCCTCCTGTTGTAGTTTATTATAATTAATTTATAATTTATAATTGCAACGTTCATGGTGTTTCTCGCTCGAGAAATACACCGTCATTCAAGATGAATTATTGTAATATCAGTTTTAAACTAGGTAAAATTCATCTTCATCAAAGGAATTTTTGTCAAAAATAAGGAAATTTTGAGCAGTTGGGAAGAAAATTATTTTTTTGAAAGTGGAAGTGGAAGCACTGAATTTACACCCTGCCATATTTTTTATAATCAGTTCGTGATTTCGAAGTTACAATATTTCGCTCGATATTTCGAGCCGATGAAGCTTTATTAACCGTGAATAATCGAAGGTACAACATCAGGGATGATTGAGTAATGTCCAGGTAAGAATTTTGTTATGTTTTATGAATAATAGAGCAATTTTGAAAGGAAATATTTGCTTTTTTCATTCGTGAATTTTGAGAATGCACGTGTTTGATGACCTCTGATGTTTCGGCTTAAAATTTGAATTTGCCGCGACAATTTCGAAGTAATATTTCGCTCGATATTACGAGCCGATGAAGCCTTAATAAGCGAAGATGAAACATCAGGGATGACTGAGTAATATCCAGCTAAGAATCTTGTTATGTTTGTGTATAATAGAGCAATTTTGAAGGGAAATATTTTCTACTTCAATCTTCATTCGTGTATTTTGAGAATGCACGTGCAGCTGCTTGATGTTTCGGCTTAAAATTTGAATTTGCCGCGACAATATTTAAAACGATGATATAAAACAATAGTT